TATATTTTGGAACTTCCCATCAGTCTAACAAAGCTTCCCTACTAATAATGTTTTGCAAGTTTAAATAAAAAGGATAGCTTTACATCTAGAAGACTTAAAAATTGAATAATGAGATAAAAACTCTAAGTCGTATTGAATATTCATACTACAATTTGCAAGACAAATTAGGAATAAATTTACGCTTTAATAAAATATAGATGTAAGAGTCAAGCCCTCACACTCTTTGCAATAGGTAGATTTTTATAGATTACGCCTATTTTTCGACAAAACCTCTCCAAATAGGAATTAAAACTGAATCAAACATTATCTAAAGCGCTCATCTAAAGACTCGCATCCTAGCGAAATGATGAGCTAACACAAACGAGAGTGGAATATTGACCACTAGAGAGAAAATCAATTATGATAAATTTCTGCATTTATACTATCCTCCTTTAGATCAAAAGGTTGACAGTTTCCTTAATAGCAAGGCCACCAAAATTGTATGGCTTTCTGTTTGGTCGCAATTTACTTTAGCTTAATAGTGTTGATTTGACCTTGTCTTCGCAGCTTGGTCGGAGCGTCAAGGGGACCTTGCGCAACGAACCTAGTCCCGTGTCCTCTGCCATAGTATTCGTGATTTCCAGCATAAAACAATTGGCTTGGTACATTCCCAAACGTTTTGCTGGAATCGTCAATGAGAGGCGCCATTAGAGAGAAAGATTTCCAGACACTCGCATGTGATTGGGCATGGACATGGGCATCATATGCTCTAAATCCTCGAATATGGCGTATTTGATGAAGGGAATGGAAGGCTCTTAGGCAGCCAGATTTCAAACAGCCAAACAGTGATTATGATATTTAGCAACGGCCAATTGACAAGCGGGTAGGGAAAAAAAGAGAGGGGGATGTAGGTCAGGAGCCTTGCAAACGGCATCTGGTTAGGAGGTAGAACAAAAAGAGGCGAGGAGTGACGCCACAGCGGTTGAAAAAGAAATTGGTCTAGGGGATTCCCTTCACTTGTCACTTTGATAAGTTGTAATTCTGTGCTTACGATGGCTTCTCGCAATAATGATGCCGACTACGATGCTGGCGAAACGTTTGGGAATGTACCAAGCCAATGGTCCAATGCTGGAGATCACAAATACTATGACAGAGGACACAGGACTAGGTCCGTTTCATAAGGTCTCCCTGACGCCCCAATCAAGTTGCAAAAACGAAGTTGAACCAATTTAAAGGGAAATCCATTAGTTAAGCAATAGTCGCATACTAAAAACAAAGTAAAACAATGACAGAGGTAATAAGTACATTCTTCGAAATCTCAATGAAAACACGATTAAGTTAAAAATATGGTCAAATTAGTGACAAGTTCAAATTCACTATAGAATAGGAATCACGAAAATAAATTAAAGTTACTGGATGCAATAGTAGTAAAGAAAACGGAAGCCAGGGATATAGCTAAGTTTATTTTTAAACCATTTCGAAAGCTAACTAGACAGAGATAAACGTATTATACCTATAAATTGATGAATTGTCAAGAAAATTAGGAGGGAATAGAAAGACTTTTCATTATCTTAAAAGGAAGTGGAAATCAAAGGAGCTTTACCATGAAGTAAATTTCTTTGAGAATGAGTAAAAGTAACTTCAGCAAAGGAACAAGGTAATAAGCAGGTATTAAAGAAGCATATTCAACCGACTGAGTTATTGAAAGAATTCAACAAAGTGACACAGATACTCCAGATAAGTCGTACATATAAATATATGGGTCGTAAAGAGCGAATGGCCACATGGACATTGTGAAAATAATTTCAGGATTGAGAAACATGACCCAAAGTGGATATCTGGCCTCTTTCAAATTGAGTCGAAATTGCGACCGATATTTAAAAAAATTGAATATCCAGGTAATTACAAAGGGGGCGATTCTCTTCATTAGTTCACCGACGCAATATGAAGTGATCAAAATTGATTTCTCGGAAGCATATCGCATAGCAAGCATCAACTTTGAGCCGAAGCATATTTATGAAACAGGGAGAAAAATCAACATACAAATCAAGGAACATCAAAAACTGTAAAAACATGGATGTGGGCCAACATTTGCAGCAAGTTGGAAGGAGAATAAAGGAAACGATGAGGAATCAGAATAGGCCTGTAATTCCACTCAAAAGAGCACACCTGTGGAATAGATGGAGATAAGCAAGTTATAATTTGTGATAATGAAGGGAGAGATGTGAGTATAAGGGATAGTTGAAGGTAGTGAGATAAAAGTAAAGATAATCGAACTGTTCGACAGAAAGATGGTCAAGGGATGGACTTCACTTTTCACTTTGCCAAGAATGACAAAGCCCATTGATAAAGCCGACTACAGCACCTGCAAAACGTCTTATAATATGCCAAATCCATGGTCCGACACTGGAAATTATTACGAATTGTATGGCAGGGGATTTAGGATATGGTGCCCTCGTCTAGGCCTCACTGAGAAAACTACTGTTGCGACAGCGAGGTTAAACTACGACTGTACAAACAAAGGATACCGCGAACATAGTGTAGGGAACACCAGATTGATGTTCATACCTTTTATTAGGAAAATGTAAAAAAATCGACTAAATCCTTTTTCCTCAAATATAGTCTTGGCCTGAATCTACTTTATTTAAAGGTGCCATATTCCCATACTATATTCGGGCAGATATAGCAAGTCTTATAGCAGCGAAATTCAAGTCTGCGATAGTTTTGGCATCACCTGATATAAAATACCTACCGTACTCTTATTACTTGCTTTGTATGTCTTACTAAGGAAATTTGGTCTGTCAAATCAGTTCATTATACTTATTGTGAAGATGAAACTTAGGCCTATTTCTAATAATCCCCTGTCAGACCTTTCTGCCGTAGGGATAGAACTATTAAAACGCATGAAGAACTTTTCACTAAGAATATCGGTGAAGACTAGACGTTAGATTCATAGATTCTTGACAAATTTTAAATAGTGTATACTGACCTCGAGACGCAATCGCTCGTTCTGAAGCTTAGTCAGTTTTGTCTTCGCGGCTTCCAGTTCTCGGTGAGTCGAAAAAAAACGTTGTTTCAGCTCAACAAGGCAGGAAACATGGCGAGCGTACTCTGCAAGATGTTCCTTAATCTCTGTCTCCTCCTCCTCTGCAGTATCCATAAGGCTAGAAAAGCTATCTATCTGGTGACCAAGTAACTAAGGTACGGATAGACAAGAAGAGGAAAAGTGGGAAATATTAGTCTAAGTCAGGATCAATATTAATTATCCTTATCTATAAGAAGACTAACAACGGAAACTTCTTACCATGTAGTTGACTGCGAGCCTAAGCGATAGTTGCTAGTGCATAGGTGGTATCACTGCAGTGAAAAGGCTAAGTAACTCAATATGAGTAGGATAAAAGCAAAACGTTCTCAGAGTAACCTAAAAGCTAGCAACAAATTAAGGGACAAATGGGACGGTTAAAATTTAAAGAAAATGATTAAAATAGTTGGCAAACATATGAATCAGCTAAATATATGGAGTTTAGCCAGGTTTCGATTAAACTCGTGAGAAAATATTGTGGTATCCTTCACTTAGTGTGAAAACAACAACGGAGTAATCATATGATTTCTCAATAATTCTTCTCTAAATCTAATTTTCATTAGGTCCATCTAAAAGAGGATATCAAATGTCTCTGTAATCTTTCATTAATTTGTATCTTACATTTGAATTAAGTGACTTTTTATGTGTTATGTGTTATGCTAGTTCCAAAATTGCTTATTCGCTTAGAAAAGCGGTTTCTTTTATCGTAGATATGAAGACCAAGGCGGTGTGGCCTTTTACTTGGTCGCAGTCTCCTTAAGCTATATAGTGTTGGTATGACCTCGTTTAGAAGCGACAGGGAGACCTTGTGAAACGTACATAGTCTTGCATCCTATGTCATAGCATTAGAGATTTCCAGCATCGGACCATTAATTTGGAAGATTTCCAAACGTTTCGCCGGCATCGTCAGTGAGAGGCGCCAGCATTAACACAGTTACATATCATTGATAAATGAAGGCAATCCCCTTGACCAATTTTCTGTTTAGCGGTTGTGACATCAATACTCACTCCTATTTTGTATCATCTCTTTCTTTCAACCCCACTGCATATAGCACATTTACCACTCTGTCCTCTCGTTTCCTCCCATATTGCCTGAGGATCAGTCGCTACAATGAATTTAATGAACCGTAGTCACCTTCACATCGGTTTCTGATGCCGTTTGCAGGTCTTCTGACTTTCAATTGACTACCCGTTTTAACCTGGCTTGCTAAATGGTCCCTGCTACACATCAAAATCATTGTCTGGTTGCCTATGAGCCTTTAATTACCACCCCCGATTACATCATATTCAAGGATTTAGGGTAGATGATGCCCATGCTCACGCACATACATCTTCCGTTCCTCATGTTCCAGACCGATGATACGTTATCCTCTTTCTCCACGATCCGACTGGAAATAATCATACATATTATGGACTCAAGACAAGGTGCGCTCCTCTAGGTCTTCCTGTCAATATAGCCAAGCTTTGAAAACAAGGTAAAACAACCTCTATCTAACGAAAGAAGACCGCGACCATACTAAAGGCGCCACCATCTTGGTCTATATACCTCGATCACCCTCATGTCGTTAGAGAGACTTTCGTTTAGTAAAAAAACGCAGGAAGAGATTCGAAGGTCGATCTCAACAGAAGAGGATAGCTGATCCTAGTTGTACTACAGCAACTTAGCTATAATATCACATTTAGGTTGATGCAGTCTACGAGACATCCTTTCTCGTTTCCGATGAAAACGGGCTAAGCTTTCGTCCATCATATGAGAAACATCATCAGAGCTAGAACTGATTCTTATAAAAGTCTCAGGTTAACATTAGGTCCGAAGTTTCTAGTCATTTGTTTGTGTGTACCTTGGTTGGTATCTCCCCTGTTTAGACATGTCATCAGTCACCTATACTTACGGCATACACACGAAGAATGCAAGCAAGCATACACATACAGAGGCACACTGAGGACCAAGAGATATTGTGCCCCTAAAATGGTTTACATACCCGAATAAATTTGATAAGGACCCATAGCTTTAGCCTAGCATCTCTACTGGGTGTAATCCGCATCTTTCAAGACTGTAATTTCCTAATTGTTGAGCTAACTTGCATTTCGAGTGAAAGTGATTGGTGAAGAGATTCGAAGGTCGGTTCCACTAGAAGACGACGGCGGATTTCTCTTGACTAGATATCGGTTGACTTTACTGGAACATTCATTCTGACGCTGTTTCCGAGGCAATTTCCTTCGATTCCGGTGAAAAGGTGCTAAGCTTTCGTCAGTCATATGACGAACATGATCAAAGCAAGGTATCATCATCAAAACAAAATTCAAGCTAACGAGTCAAGAAAACTCACCGGCAAATCCCTAAAAAGTGGTATATATACGCTAC